CCTCCAGGGACCATCAGCCTGGGACCCACGCAGCACCTCTCATCCCGCCCCACTCCCGCCCCTGCCTGCATGCTATGAGCCCCTGGGGCCCCCGCACCTTCCACAGCTCGTTCTCCCACTCGACAGCCTCGCCGTTGATGGGCATGGGCTGCGTTAGGTCGTGGCTGCCGTTGTAGCTGGGGCCGCCCTTCTGGCTGGGGTCTGGCGTCACGAGCACGGGGTAGTGGGGTGACGCGCGGACCTGGGCCAGCGTCGGCATCGCGGGGCGGTGCCGCGGCCGCACGTTGGCGGCGCAGGACTTGTAGATGCCCAGGATGTTGACGCCGCCCTCCATGGCACTGCTACCCTTGGCCCCGGCATCACCGGGGCCGGCGTCAGCGGCGGCGGTCATGCTGGGCCCAGACCGGGAGGGGGGGCGCCGGTCTGTTGTTGCGCGAAAAGGGCCGCGTCGGCGCCCGGCTGCACGGCGGCGGGTCCGCCCGGTTGAATCAGGCCTGGCTGCGGCTGGGCTGGGTCCAGATGCGCGTCTTAATTGATGACTGTGGCACTCTGGGCAAACCGGGCTCCTGGTTCCTGCTGAACGAGAAGGCTGCCGCAGCGCCCAAGAATGACGACTGGCAGTGGGGGCGTCTGGCCGGAGGGAGTCACCCGGTGAGAGGTGTGGTAAGATCTTAATGACCGTGCAACTGTGAATTGTAGCGGGGCCGGTGGGGTGTCCCTCAGCGCAGGCCTGCAATTAGACAGTCACCCGGAGTCACCGCAGCGCTCCCCGGCACCACAACAACGTGATGCGGTGTGCAGGGACAAGGAAACAGCTTGTTCAACGATTCCCTGCTTATATGCCAGGCACGCCGGCCGAGGCACACCGTCTGGCCATCCTGCTGCCCCGTCGGGCGAGGGCATACGGGCAACTGGCACCCTGCTGCAGCATGGCGCAGGGGTCACGTGTAGTAGAAATCTAGCCCTTACCTACAGCCGATGAGTCGTCAGGAGTGGCAGCCACAGACAGCGCAGTGCACGTAACTGCTCCTCCCTGCTGCCCCCCGCTGCAGTGATGCCCTGTCTGCTGCTGCTAACTGGGCCGCACTATGATGCAGCAGAGTCTTAGTGTATTAGAAGGCACGCTAATGGTGGGCAAGGGAAGAGGGCGGCAAGATATCGAGAGGGAGATGTACAGGCCGTTTGTGTGGGGGCTTGGGCAGGGCAGCCACTGTTGGCAGCAAGTCCATAACAAACCAGGCCGCGCGACAAAATCCTCTGCATTTATTCGATTTGGTCAACGTCATGCACACACTTGACTTTTCTCCGGTCTGCCTGTCTGCTTGCTGTCGAACTTCACGGTGGAACGCGCACTCGCTCGTCGCCGTCCCGACAGCGATGCAAGACGCCAGATTCTATGAAGCTATCGTCCTCCCTGTCAATCGCCTGACATCTGACCACAGCAGCTTGGCACGAGCAGCGCCGCACATGACTGTGGCTGGGCATTTGTCGTGGTGCTGGCCCGGAGCCGTCCTGCATCAAGTCAAGATGACTGACAACAAAAGCAGTGACTGACACTGGAACCTGACTGCTACTACATGTTGGCGATGGGTTTACACACGGGGTGCTGCTGCCGCAGATATGCAGAGGGCAGCAGCCAGCCTTGTGGTGTGTGTCAGGCACCCTGTGGGGTGCAAGGATGCGCTTAGGCTCGCGGCCAGTGTGCGTGGGACCCAGGCTTAGCTGACAGTCAATACAGCGGAAGCAGGGGAGGGAGGGACACCGGAGTGCCGAGGCAGGCACTTGCGCGCAGCAGGGCCCGGCCCCACCCCCGGAGACGCCTCACTCCCACAAAGGACGCGCGTGCGCGGCGCAATACAGCCCCAAAAAGCCGCGAGCAGGGGCACAAAATAGGGATTCGCTGTTCTCCCGGCGCTGCGACGGTAGCGGCACAAATGAATGGGCCCTGCCCACCAGAAAAGACGACCGACGGAGGGGACGGGCGTGGCGACAAAACGTATGCGCGCGGTGCTCCCGGGCGGCGCAGGGGCGGCCCCCAGGCGCCGCGCGCCCGGCTGCGCCCGCGCCCTCCTGCCACAAACAGCTGGCTCGTGAAATCCGTCCGCGCCCAGTACTGTCAAGCGAGCCGCGCCTCGCCGCGCGCATGGGCCACCCCCGGAAGTTCAGTGCTCAGGAACGCGGATGTGTGCGCGCGGCCACGGCAGCAGCCACTGCCTGCGGCCGCGTGCGCGTCGCCGCGCCAGCAGCGGGCCGGGCCCCACATCCAAGGGGTCTGCGTCGGCCGCTGCCCACAGCCCGTGCTGCTGCGCATGCGTGAGGGCCTGCGCGCGAGTGCTGTGCATGCGATGCTCTCAAAACTGGAGAGGCGCCCAGGCCTCTGCTGCGACCCCCCTCCTGCAAGGGGCGGATGCTGCTGCCAAGAACGTGTAAGAACCGCGCCGCGTGGCGGCGTGTGTGTGTGTATGTGTGTGCGTTGGGGAGACCAGGGTGGGACACCCGAATAGTACACAGTCGCCGCAGCGGCGGCGGCGTCCTGGGGCCAACCGCGGCACCGGCCTGGCCCAGCGCGCAGAGCTCCAAGCGGCGCTGCGGCACTTGTGCAAAGCCGTGGCCGGCGCCGGCTGAGGGCGCGCGCGCCGCTGCCACGCCGGCGCCGGCGGCAAGGCGGGGCGGGACGCCTTCAACGGCGCCGCAGCCCTTCGCGCTCGAAAACAAGACTCGAGGCTCTCGCGCCAAAAATCGCCCCCATCCATCACGGGCATCGGTGCACTGCTCGCTTCGCGGGGGCGCAAGGGGCCCGCCGCACGCGCTCGCCCCGCGCCGCACCACTCCCCGCCCGCGCCAGGCGCGCCCTGCTCCCGCGGGCGCGCGCTGCCGTGGGGGCGCCACGGGCCGCACGTGCGGCGGCCGCGAGGCGCGCGGCCGGGCGACGCACGTTGGGCCCGGCACGGGGGCATACGCGCGGCGAGGTGCACGTGCATCTCCCACACTTTCTTGCACGCGTTCTCAGCCTCAACCGCTCTCGAAATCGTCTCTCTCTCACACTCTCACTCTCTGTGTCCCTCGCTCTCTGCTTGTCGCTCCCTCTGGCCCGCGCGCGCGCGCCCGCCGCGGCGCCCCGCGTCGCCTCAGCTGCCGCCTCAGTTGTCGAACCGCAGGTTGCGCAGGCTCTGGGGCCGCGTGCTGCTGGGTGGCGTCCACCCCCACACGTCGTGCCTGTCCAGCAGCGGGCTTCCCTCCTCCCCCATCTCCAGCGCCTCCCAGGTGCCCTCAAACGGGTCGGGCCCTGAGGGGGCGGCCTCGAGGGCGGAGCGCGCCGGGGGGCGCGCGGGGACGCGCTCGACCACGTCACCGGGTGACAGCGCGCCCAGCTCCTCCTGGGTGGGGGGTGCCACCATGGGACAGGGTGGGGGGTGGGAGGGAATGGTTCAGGTGGGGCGGGGGAAACACCGACCTCAGGCCCGGCTGCGAGGTGCAGCCCCGGCGGGGATGGCGGCCCTGCTGCAGCGGGGGG